TCTTCATATCGCATGTGATTTGAGTCCATAGATTCAAATTTTTTGTTTGTGATGTTTCCTTTATATCAAGATATCTTCCAATTTTTCTTATTTTAGTTTAAGTGTATTTTTGAAGAAATTATGTGAAATATGTTCCAATTTGTCACAGAAAGAATCGTTTTTTCCTAGATCACTTTGTTGGATCAAGCACCACCTCTAGTATAATTTCCACACACACCTCACTTTATTCTTTTTGAGTAATCCTGCTAGCAAACAGACAAACTGAAACAATCACTGGGCAGTGGAAAAAACAGGAACTTTTCAGGCATCTAATTGTTTATTTATTAGCTAATTACTTTGGTGTATGGTGAATTGTCATGGGGGAGGTCTTTATGAGCAAGAAAAGCAATAAAACTTATGAAAATACAGTTAAGAAGTACTAAGTTTAATCCCCTCTTTTCCCGGTACCATCCAGTGGGCCGGATTGAAGTCTTTGGTGGTTGCCTGATTTAGACACACATACTCAATATTGATTCCACTCTGCAATGTTTTTAGATGGAGGACGGGCTGGTGAGATGCCAAATTCAGAGATGCTTGGAGTGGTGGAGGACATGGCCCGCAGGCTGCTGACTGAGGAGGAAGTGGCTGCTGTAATGAAGACGTGCAGAAGGGTAGGACGCTGAGTTAAAATCTGTAGGCATACTGAGTGTTTGTGTGTTGACCTCTGTAGTGTCCTCATCCAAGGGAGTAATAAATGCCTTTTTGTCAGATGCCACTAAAAATGTGTAACAATGTTTTAACAAAAAACAAAACAAAACCCAGGATTCATTAATATTTTCTTAGCTGAATTTGTTTGTTTTCTCCAACTAAATTTCAAACTACCTTAGATCATGAGTGCACATATGGTGAAAGTCAGGCTGTCTTTTACTGCCATCCATTCCACAGAAACACTTAGGAAAACTGGATCTTCTTCACAGTCCTCCTCAGACATGATAGTTTCAGTTAATTTTTCCATATATTTTGAATTGTGGGCGTGGCAATTTTAGTGTGTTTCTGATTCACTCACATACGCATGTTGGTAAGAACAAAATAGGCTGGTGTGCAGGTGTCTTTAATCCAGTGGTAAATTTGTATGTACAATTACTTTGTGTTTGTGATATTGGAACATTTCTACACAGTGATTAGTAAGTGAAGCCAAGGTGCATTTATGCTTTGATTGATGAGAGGTAACAGTCCTGTTTTAGAGACTTGCGATGTGTTAGCGTAGCTGTAGCAGTAGTCTTAGGTTTAGCAGGCAGGAGAAAAGAACATTTTATTGTTTAGGGATTTTTCATTGGCATGAAAACAGGCCAGTTTGCAACATTAACCATGCATGGTGTAAAATCACAGGATAACTGTGAAGTACTGTCTCATTGATGTCATAAGTTGGTGTGTCAGGGCAAAGATGCTAAAGGACACCTTCCCAAGCCAGCAGCTTTGACGCCCTGGGTGTGAGAATGGCCCATTTGGACAGTTTGTTTCAGTGTCCACTTGTAAATGTAAGGAAGTAATAAAAGCTGCTAAATGCTTACTAAATGTATTTACTCTCTCAGTACGTAGCAGATTGTTCAGTGGAAAATCTGATACGTCAACTGCTGGTTGTGCTGGACCGACCTGAAAAGCTGCTGCTGCTTAGAGAAGTGAGGTAAGGACAGGGAAACAATGTTGTTGGAAATGTTTCCAGAGAGGCTGAAGGATTTTTCAGGATAACCATCTCAAACTGAAATCCAAATGTTGCTCATTGAGGAGCTGAAGACTAATTAAAGATGTAAGAACAATGACTCAGCGTATTTTTTGTTCATCCACGTGTCTCAGAATGCTGCTTCCTCCTTCTGATCTGAGTGTATTCAATAACATGGTGACTGCCATTGAAGCCGAGGCCTACGATATCCTCAAGTATCGCTCAGGTGTGTATGCGAATTATCTGATCATGATATTCGAGCACCATCAGAGTCAGAGTTGTTTTCTGATATTACAAACCGTATCTTTTCAGTTAGCCCAAAAATTTGCATTAACTTAACACAGTTTAGTAGGACCTCAGTAGGCCCAGAAATTCTCTGTCCTGTAAAATATGATTATTTTACTCTTTGTCTTATCACCATTTACCACCTTTCTGTAAAGTTGCATTTGTCTTATCTTTCCATTGTAGTCCGGACTCCTCCTCTTCGCTCTCCCATTTCTGGTCGAACACCAAAACGGCGCCTCATCACTCCCATCCCAGGTCAGCACCTCCACTGCTAGACCTTTTCTCGGTCTAGCTTTTCTAAGGATGAAATTCTTTTTTTTTCTTTAAGCATATTGGTGAGACATAAATCCACTCAAGGAGGGATGAAAGGACCAATGAAGTAAAACTATGTTGATGAATGTGATTTTTATATTGGAAAAGTAAAACAGTGTTTATTGGCACTATTGTTTAACCTCTTTTATTGTTATTTATGTTTGATTGAAAAGGTTTGCGATCTTTGGGGGGGTTAAATGGGCTTCCATACTTTCCATTCAACTGTGAAACCTTTTCAAACCTCAGCCTGAAGTGAAAGTGTATTGAACTTGAAAATAGTTCCTGTAACAACATTTGTTCTCCTTCTAGATTACCGGGGAGGCTTTGAGCTCCACAGTGCTGAGGAGGTGGAGAAGGAGGGCCACCTGCTGGAGGAGCTGGAGAAGCTCAGCTTGACTGGGCCCCGTGTGTCCAAAGACAGGCTCCACACCTCCAGGTCCTTCACACCTCTGCTGGACATACCGGTGGATGGATACAACACAGAGTCCAGAGACCTCAGACCTCCAGCTGCCAGTCCAGTGCTCCCCAACTGGCTGCTGGCCCGCAGCACCGACTCCAGGCCGCCTCTCCAGACGGAGATCGGCACGATTCGCTCCGTCCATTTTGATGAGGTGTCGCTGCACTCTGCTTCAGATAAGGGAGATACGAACTTAGAACAGGGACGGCCGCCGTTAAGAAACAGTCGCTCTAAAGGCAAAAAGGAGAAAAGTGGGGACAGGAGTAAAGAAGCCGTGTTTACGCTGCAGAGCGCTGCTCGCAGGAGTCGGCCTTTATTGTCGCAGGTGTTTGGTTCAAATCAGAAACTGGGGAGTGAACAGGTGAATGGTCATCAGGCTTCTTCTGAGGACAGGATCAATGGCAGCGACTCCAAACAGGAGTATGAGCTCCGAACTGTCAGCATCTCCAAGACCAAACAGTCTCTGGGTAAGTAACTTTATTTGATGCCACTCTCACATTCAGAATAACTTTGTACCTAGTTTCCCAAACCAAGTTAAACTGAGGCATTATAAACTTTCATGCGACTAATTACAGAATAATGGAAGGTCTTTTTTTAGTAATGCTTCTGAGCAAGAGATGCTTGGTATACAGCCTTCTCCTTTAGCCATTTAAAAACAATTGGAAAAACAATGTGTGCAGTCTGCTCTCACATATCAAAGTGAAAATTAAAAATCAATTCAATTGCAAATGTTTATCACATATCAGAAAAATAATCCAGTGAAATGTGTTTCTAAAAAAATCTGAGGCTGGAAACAAGCTGACATGCTTGATTTTCATGTGGTAGCCTGCCCCTCGATACCCTGGCTCTCAAAACATAATGCCGAGCTGCAAGAACGCATTGTGTTGCAACAGTATGCATGGAATTGATTGATCCTGTGGAAAACACTGGAAAATACTAACTGTATGACATACATTTTTGTATTTACTTCCTATATTTAGATTAAATATGACATTGTTTATGTATGCCTCCAAGTACGCCTCTGACTTGTGCTGCTGTGATGCTGCAGGTATCAGTATATCTGGTGGGATGGAGTCAAAGGTTCAGCCGGTGGTGAAGATTGAGAAGATCTTTCCTGGAGGAGCTGCCTCCACCTGTGAAGTTCTCAAGGTAACATGACAGTACCAAGCAGAAATCTTATAGAAAGAAGACTTATCAGACCAGGCAGAAATCTTCTATTGTCCAATTTTAGTGATTGCAGCAAATTGCAGCTTCAGTTTCCTGTTCTTACCTAACAGGAGTAGCATGTTGTGTGGGTTTCTGCTGCTGAAGCCCATTCATTTCTGTGTGATTAGCTGATTAGATATTTGCAAGCAAACAGTTGAATAGGTGTACCTAATGAAGTTGCCAATGAGTGTATATAGTTCAGTGCATTTATTCTGTCAGTGTCTGACTGGATTTCCCTCTGTTTCGCAGGCTGGATTTGAGTTGGTGTCTGTGGATGCTGTTTCACTGCAAGGGGTCACCCATCAGCATGCCGTTGACATAATCCGAAAAGCCTTCAGCAATAAGGCCAAAAACCCCATGGAGTTTGTTGTCAAAGTCCCCAAAGATCTTTGAAAGGACTCTGAGATGCTTTTGTGGATTTAGAAAAAATATCCAGTGATAAGCAGCCTCCGGAATTTAACTTGGACACAGGTAAACTTTTACCAGCACACACACTGCTGAGGTCTGGTATGCATTTTTTGCCATTCAAGTTAAATTTGGGAACAAGGACACAGAAACTTTCTGAACTGAAACAAAGCTGCAGATAATATTTAAGAGAAAATGAATAAACCAAAAAGTTGTGTTTGTGTACAAATGAAATCTCTCACTTTTTCACAACCCTGGGGCCAGTGCCCGTCCAGAACATTTTTAACTTGTTTGACCAATATCCATTAGTGCATTACAGATGGATAACTGTAGGTTATGCTCCTGAATTTTAAACTGTGCAGGATGGCAAACGTCAACTTTTGAGTGCCTTTGAAAGCCCCAGTGGACTGAATATTAATAAGAATCCACGTTAAGGTGGCTTTAAATTCAATTATCTACCTGAAGAGGGCAGACACGGACCATTCACAATATTCCTGTGGACAGCAGCTAGCAAGAAGGATTTCTGAAAAGTTACACCAGAAAATACTAAATGTAAACAAAGAATTAAAAATGGGAGAAAATACATCTGTACATGAAGGAAAGACCTGGTGTAATAAATACAAACTGACACAGCTGTTAAACTTTTGTCTCTTTTTTTATTATTAAAACCAGAGTGGGTTTGTTCAAGAAATGTACAGCATGAAAATATACATTTAATGTTTTCATACAAATATTGTGGATTATAAAATTATACTGAGGAACCAAAACAAACATCTACACAAACAGTTATATACAGGCATCATATCTGTAGGAGCAAAATATAGAACGTGGGACATTGCTTTGGTCTATTCACAGTGGCTATGCTTTTATTGTGAGATGAACACATCTCTGGAAGAAAACTTTATCATATTATGGACAAGTGAGGTTTATTTACATAATAATGGAGGATAATAATGATTCACTCAGCAGTGAGAGAGGAACAGGACGTGTCTCCTCCTGTGGTACAGGGGCGTAAATAAACAGATTCAAGCAGTCGGTGGAAAATTAGTTTGACTGTAAACGAAAACATCACTTGGTACAAGAGCTCGCCATTTCAGCGATGAGTAATACGGAAACGTTCATAACACTTTATCCACACAGAAAAACGACGACCTCTTTGAGAGTAGTTTCTCCAATTATGATTAAAAAACAAAACAATGATAAAGGGGAAAAACAGTCACAATATACTGTGTGATATAAGAAATTAGGCATTATGATTTCCCTTTAATATCTGGATGTTTGAGGAGATCCAAAACACTGCATCTAATTCCCAACACTGTCAACCTCTCCCTTATTTACTTCTGCATGCTCATCAGCAGGTCCACAAACCACAAAATAAGGCTGCTCGATTTAGGCAAAAGCCACAATCATGATAATTTTGGACAAAAATCTTGCAATCCTGATTATTTAACATGATTATTGATGATTTAAAACCGTGAATTTGCTAAACCTAAAAAAAAGGGGGCTTTTCACATGGGATTTCCTTGACCTTCAGGCTAGTTGGTGCATTTTAAGTTGAACAAAAACTGCTGCTCCTCTTTGGACCAGAGGGAGAGCAGTAGCAGATAACCAGCAAACATCCGGTTAACCATCACTGAAAGAGGACCAGATGAGAAACCCTCAGAGATCCTGTTTGCAGGCAAACACTGATGATCCTTTCACTTCAAACATGTTCTGGAGTTAGAGCTTGTTGACCAAAGACTCTTGTTTGTCTCTCTCCATTTAGTTCAAGCTGAACTGAATGGTGAATTTGTTTTCGGTTTTAGGATAGAAGTGAAGTTGCACTGCTGTAAAGGACAGGGGTGCGCTTGATTTATTACCAGACAAAATTATCATCCATATTGTCCTGATGTCATATTTCTTTAAAGCCAAAATAGTTTGATCCTAAACTTAAGGGAGAAGGTAACTGTGTTTCCACCAAACACTAACAAAATGAAGACAGTCTAGCTTTTGCAAAAACAGCAAGACAATTATGCACAGGTGTACATAAGTAAATAAATCATGGCTAATCTCCATTTTGCTGCTTCAGTTTCAGAGTCCTGGGCTATTTCTCACCCGTAAAACACATACTCAGCATTTTACTAAGAGTGAGCACACTTTTTAGCGTAGATTTGAATAAGATGTGACTGACTGTACTACAGCACTGGTAACAGAAAGAAGTAAACATGACATGGAGATCGTTTTTGTTCCGTATCTGGAAATTAAAGCCACTGTATGGTGCAGAAAAACTATAAATCGAACAGTAAACAGGAAGTGATTTGGGACATTAATGTTTTTTGGTAAATATCATCTTTAAAGCAATGATATCATGAAGTTACTGTCCTGTTAAGGTTTTGGAAGATTTTATCCTCATGTTCTGCTGCTACTCTCCGGGAGAGTTATTTAATCCAATCTTGAGATAACCGTGGCACAGATGTTTGTGTCTGTGCGAGCTTAAAGCTGATACATGTAGTGGTGTTAAAGTAATATTTGTTCCAGGCATTGTCAAATACTGTGAATTAAGACTAGACAGATGTTCATGACACAGCTTCCACCCTCTCCATTAATTTAGGGATAAAGGGGAACCTATTGTGCACATTACGAGCTCTGGGGAGTACACTGGTTGAATGTCTCCGTCTCTGCCCTTCTGACAATTTTTTGCCATTCCTTGCGAACCTTCAAATCACACCAGAACGCAACATGGTGAAACTACAAGCATTGTCTTAAGTGGATGCAATCAGCTCCAGCTGTACCGAGTGTAAATCCTGGGGTTATACTTGTCAAATATCTCATACTGGGCCTTAAGGCAGCTCTAAGCAATCTTTTGATTGGCTGCCCACCGCTAACAGAAGGTGTGAACAGTAGGTGGCTGGGGCTGATGTGTGCCAGATATGACTATATTAAGGACATGCACTTTAAAAAGCCAGAGCTTTTGGCTCAAAGGGATTAATTGCTCAAATGCTGACCTAATTTTTTTTAGATTTTTTTTTAATTGGCCATTTTTAATATGAGCATCCACCTTGTAATAGTATAAATATGAAAAAAATAAAATAAATAAAGACTAATAGTCCACTTTGTATTTCCAAACTATCAGAGTGCATTTTTAAGAAGCCTTAAGTTTGTTTTCCAAGATCATTACATGTCCAGAAACAACATATTTGGGCAACAAAAAAAACTAGGGTTTTGTTTTTTGTTGCTACAGTGAAAATAAGTAGAGAACGATCAACAGTTTACTTGTTGGTCATGAACAGTTAGCATAAAAGCTTGACTAGTTCTGAGGAAAACAACAAGATAGACCTGTCAGCGATTAGCACCAGGCTCTGATTCACTCACTCTTATCATGACATCCTGATTGTGTGGTATCCCACAATCACTGACAACAGCGTGGGCTCCGTCTAAATGAACTGCACTAATGAGAGCTGACTACTAACACAGAGTGGGAGTGCTAAAGCCAGCAGGGAAGGTGGAGTCATAACCAACACAGGGGGAGGATAGCGAAAGGTTGAGAGAATGAGAGAAGTGAGTCACCCACAAACAAAATCTCCCACCAACTTTGAAAAGCGTGAGAGGACCAGGGCTCGTATGCTTATATCTGGTCGGTGTTAATACTAACAGACATTAATAGAAGGGCAAAGGATTGAGGTGGAGGGCTAACAACTAATTAAAGGTCAGTGGCTTTAAAGTGAGACTTGTAGACCAGACCAATGAAGCAGAAATCAAGCAGTGCAGGTGTGACACACCACCTTTTTTTTTTTTTTTTTTACATTTTAAGTACTTTTATGCTTGTCTGAACATGAAGGAGGAAAGACAATTTGCTTACAGTAGTGCAAAATTTTAAAAGAAAAAAGAAAAAAAAAGAAACACAATCAAAGGACAGATACGAGGGTCAAATTTCTGTTGCGGCAATTTCATCAAAGTTGATCTCATTGCCGCTGCCCTCATCATCATCTCTGCTTTCCAGTTCCAAACTGAGCTCCTGCAGGAGCTGCTCCAGCTCTCGGTTCCTGCGATACATCTGCACATAGTTCTGCTGCAGCTGCTTCTGGTAGCGAATTACTTTGTCCTTTTCCTCCTGCCATATCTTGCGCTCCTCCTCAAAGCTTCCCAGTTGCTGCTCAGCTTTTTGACGCTCAAAAGCTAACTCGGATCTCATCCTGTCCATCTGCACCTTCATGCTCTGCAGCGCCTCGGTGTTGCTCTGCCGCTGAGCCTTCGCTTCGTCGCTCTCGTAGGCGAGCAGCTGCTCCTCGGCTTCCTGAAACACCTGACACTGTCTGTTTCCCGGGCCTTGATTGACCAGAGCATCTCGGAGATGAGCCATTTCCCCCTCCAGGCGTCCTACCTTTTCTCTGAGTAGCTCTGCTTCGCTCTTGCGACGCTGAAGCTCATTTTCACACACCTCCAGCTCCAGTGTTCGAGTCCGGATGGTGCCGTGGGCCTCCTGGAGCAGCACCTGGGTGTTGGTCAGCTCGCCACGAGTCTCCCTGAGTTGACCCCGCAGTGAGACAATCTCCCCCACACGCTGAGCTAACTCACTCTGCACTTCCTTCAACTGCTGCTTCAGCAACGAGATTTCCCCAGACTTCTGACAGACCTGAGTGGAGAGAAGCATTTAGGTGGGAAATTCAGTCAATGAAGTGTCGACAAAGAGCTCTGTTGGTTTTGAAGGTTAGATGGTACTACTACTAAAATGGATAAAGGAGTTGTTGTGCTTTATAGATGAAAGACTTTAGAGAAGGCTAAATAACATTTGTGTCACTGACCTGCTGTTTGGTGGTTTTTATTGACTGTCTTATTTACAGATTTAATGAGGTAGACCTCATCCATAGAGGTAAAAAGTTGTTCCGTTTGACTTTAAAGGTTTGCAGCTCGTCACTAGTTGGTTTTCCAGATGGAAATTTTTAATACAATACCCAAGCTCTTAAACAATCTTATTTAAACAAATAAGTGCAATGATTCCCATTATCAAACTGACATTTATTTATGCAGACAATCGATTTGATCAGTAATTAAATGTCAGAAAAGAGTGAAAATGGTTCATTTCAGAAACTCTCTCTTGAAAAAAATGTCATAAAATACAACCAAACAGTTTTCATTCTGAGAGGCTAACGTTTGTGTGTGCAGGTAATTATTTTAGATCCAAAATTAAGTACAAATATAAAGTATATAGCGCTTTTTAGAATAATAATACACTAAAATGTTGCAGAATCGTTAAGAAGGTGTGGAGACTGCTTTGAACTTTAGAAAGGATTTGTATTTTACACAAAATCAGTCAGAATAATTAATATAAACCATGAAATAGTTACTTTTACGTTTTGAACTGACTGAACTTTTTCTTATAAAATATTGGATATTTTTCTTTAAAAGAAGCCTTTTTTTTTTTAAAGTATTTTTTTGTTATCACTAAAACTCATTGGATGACATTAATTTCATTTCATTCACGGTTACAGCAAGACATTAAATTAGTGATTTGATTTGCACAGTTCTTATAGCAGTGATGAGTTTAATGAAGGATGAGACGTGGCAAAAAAAAAAAAAATCACTAAAAGGGCTCAATAATACACTTTAAAACTCAAATTTACTTCATGTACTTATTACTACATTATATGAGAGTTTAAAGAACATCCGCTCACCTCCCACTTGGTCTCCTCGAGTCGAGGGCCGAGCTGGATCTTCTCATGCTCATATGAGGTGCAGCGCTCCTCAAGCTGCTCCCTCTCCTTCAGAAGCTGAGCAAAGTCCTCCTGCAGTTTCTTCTTCTCCTGCTGGAGCTGGAAAACCTGCAGCCATAAAAAGAAAAAAGAGAGAGAGAGAGAGAGAGAGAGGGATACACTTAAAACAATGCTTTGTTTTCAAAAGCCAGCACTGAATATTCTTGTCTGAGGTTCTAACCTGCAGCTGAAGCACCTGCTGTGCACGCTGGGCTTTCTGAGAGGCGACCTGCATCCTGGTGGCACAGCCCTGCCTCAGCTCCTCCAGTTCCAGCTCAAAGCGCTTCTGCTTCTCCTCATAAACCTGTAAAGCAGAACAACCAGTGACAGAGAGGTCAAAGTTCAGATCTGTGTAAGTTTAGATAAAGCAAATGTCCTGCTTGGATATTTTGTTTGGAGGTCTCACCTGACATATTGCAGCTTCATTCTCATCCAGATTGTCTCTGAGTTGCTGCAGCTCCAGCTCTCTCTCCCTCAGTTTGTCCTCTAGATCCCTTACCACCCCCTCATAGCCTTCCACAGGGCCAGGAGAACGCCCACCGGACCCGCTGTCAGACAGAGGCTGCCCCCGCCCACTTATCGACCCAGAGCCTGTGCTCTTACTGGAGGAGGATCGCCCGCTGTCTGAGTTGGAGTGTCCATGTACAGTCACTGGCGGGGCGCTCTTCATGGGCTCTAGGTGGCCAGCGGAAGCCTCCCCCGACGGCAGGTTGTAGCTGGCAGCACTGTAAGGCGGCAGGCTAGAGAGGGAATTGCGTCCAGAGTCTGATAATGAGCAAGACTGGCTGTTACCACCAGCGGCGTTACGCCCACCACTATAGGAGCTACGCTTCTCAGAGCAGGAGGGCGACACATCTCTGTGGGTGGGGCTGAGCAGGTTCAGGTTGTTTTGGCTTTCTGGCGCATTGGCACAATGGCGAGGCGAGAGATACTGCATCGAGGAGCGGCTCTTGGGAATGACGGGTTTGAAGGCAGTGGGCCGCAGCACTGTTTTCTCCATATTCTAGTAAAAAGTAAAAAGAGTGAATTTGATATAATGTAAAGCTTTACAAAGCAAAATTAAGCCTAAACAAAGCTGTGAATAAGTAGTTAAAATATGTTTTATGTGACACAGGCCCTGCTTCTGGGAAATGGAGTCTTTATAGGGCGGACAAAACTGAATGATATGGACCACATATATGGTATGCACTGTGGAGCCTCACACACTCACCTTCTCAAGTTTTCCTGACACTGGGATCAGTTTAGGAGGAGGTCCTCCAATATTTCCATTTAATCCTTCTTTAATCTCGTCTACTTCACTTCCTGGGCTGCCAGGTGTCACATGACTGTCATTCCAGTTACCTATGTAGTCCTCATTCAGATATGTGTAGTTCCCGTTCCCAGTCTCCTTCTCCAGCCCTCTGCTGGACGTCGTGGAGTTCTGTTTCTTGACTGGGGGAATGCTTTGCAGTAACAGATCCTGTTGGGGCGACTCGGAGTCCACGCGGGAAACTCCTGGTGTGGGCCGTCGAACTCTGGCTCCCAGCTCAACAATTGGGCGATGGTCCTGGTAGAGACCAGGGTGGGTGGTGATGAGGCTACCGACAGAACCCATAGGATCCAGAGTGGCCAGTGGCGCGTTGATGGGGGGGGAAGGGGCAGAAGGGTGTCGTCTGCGAGCTCCTCCACTCAGGCCTGGGGTGTGGGGCTCAGCAGATACAGGTAGAGGCTGAACCAGGGCCATGGTGGCAGCTCAGAGAGGTCACTCGTGCTGAAAAAGAACAAATGTGAATGTGTTAAATAGTGACAGACTGATATTGTTCCTTTTTTCCCTGTCATGGGGACGGTTTCAAAGAGGGACACTCATACTAAATCTGTCCCAAACTTCAAAATAACTACATCAGCATACTTTATGTTCAAGAAATCCCTGTATGATTTCAAATAGAGAAGAGTCCTTACTCTGTTCTCAGGAATGGATAAAATCATTCTAATAGGACCTAGAAATGAGTGCAAGCCCAGACCTCTCTCTCCCTCGCCAACTCCTCCATCTCTTCCAAGTAGCCAAGAGGTGTAATCTATCCACTCCGTCACCTCCCAATGAGACCCGCCCAAGAAAAGCTCACTATGAGGTGTCCAGGAGGCCAAACCACTCAAACTGGCTCCTTTCAATGCACAGTATCATCTACTCTGTACCGCTCCCAAATGACCAAACTCCTCAGTCACCCGTCAGAGGAAGGACATTTCAGTCGCTTGTATCCACAATCTGTCTTTCAAGATGACAGTAGATTTACCAGGACATCAACCTTCAAATTTAGCTCACACTTCATAACAGATCTATACAGAGTCCACATGACTGGCAATGCTAGGCCACTTTATCTGTTGACATCTCGCTCCAAAGTTCCTCCAAACGGAACAAGACTGAAGTACAAAACTGGAGAAAATATTTTTCCCCCCCACACTAAAACAACGATGAGTGCTAGGGCAAAAACAAACCAATGCCAAATAGGTTAATAAAATATGTAAATGAATCAAAATTAACAACTGTCATCCTGTGGAGCTCCAGTTATCCATTTGCTGCACCATGAAAACATTGTTTTGGCTTAAGAGTAAGTCTCAAGTCCTCTGAAAGACATTTTGATACCAGACTTACTTTCTTACCATAATTCCTTCTATATCAAAACAATTTTTAATATAGTGATTTTTTTCACACTCTCAACTGAAGCTCAAGGCTGTGAAATGGAGAAACAACACAAGTGTTCACATGTTATGGTTAAAGTTTCAGCATATCCTTTAAGAAGTTTCTCAAAAACCGTGTAGGCCCTCGCTCAAAGAGGGTCTCAGGATCAGGAGGCTGAGCAAGTAGATGAAAACTGCAACTGCATGTTCCCCTCTAAAGTCATTTCATCTTATTTGGTGTGAAGCACTGACTCTTCAATGATAACTGTCATAGTAAGGGCAAGGTCTTATATTAAGCCTTATAAAATCAAGTCGAATCTTAAGTACTTAAAGACAAAAATCAGTCACTGTCTGAGTGCAAACTAGCAAAACATGATAATCATAGCATTTTTCTATCAAAGGCTTTGTTAATAGTGTTTTGAAACAGCTGTGTCAAAACCTGTTGCTATAATATTTACTGATCTTATTCAGCAACTAAAGAAATGAGCTGAACTGGCATGTTTTTCTTTAAGACCTAACAAGAAGTGATTGCAGCATTCAAATCTCCCCACAGGGTTTCTTTCAAGGAATTTTTCTCACAGCGCCTATGACACAGACAACACAGAGATGATATACAGTAGACTAAAGGATACAAATATCCCACAAGACCATGGTGGGCCACACACAGACAGCCAGGGACAGGCCATTCATTATATCCATCCAAGCAGCACAAACAGGGCTTGAGGCATGGGGCAGCACAAGGAAGGGGTCTCTCTTCATTTGAGATGTAAAATGCCTTGTAACATGCTGGCATTTTCCCTGACAGCAACAAAGGCTACTGTCTCCACACATCTTATCAGCCTTAGGAACAACTGAAAAGTTCATAACTGTGGATAATATCACAAAAGGTAAAACACTGAGAAGAGGAGACAGGTTGAATTTGGCGTGGTACTTCTGCAGTGGGTGTTTAAAGCTACTAAGTAAAGGCAATAATACACAGAGAACAATTTTTAAAAAGCGTGACAGACTTACTTTTTCACTCCTTCAAACGTCTGGTGGTAAATGTTGACATTATAACAGCAGGCACAACAGACTATGATATCAACAGTTTATTCCCGGCGCTGCCCAGCAGTCGAGCGTGAAGAACAATGGACAACAGGACGCCTGATGATGAGATCATGGTGTACAAAAACCAACAACGGAGCCTCTTGTAGACTAAAAACATCATCACAGTGAGTCAGACTGTCAGGATATCCAACCTGTGGGTGTGTCGTCACCTTAAGTTTCAGAGAAGTCATTTAAAGTATGCCAGGAATTCAGTTTTCACTACGTCACTCACATGTTTTTGGTAATCAGCCGTTGCGGTCCAAGGGTGTTGTAATGATTTACCATTATAGGGTTTTCTGTGATATTGCTGTGACTCTTGTTATGATTTTATATTCTAACCTTCACAGTGTCCTTTGTTTCTGTGTGTGGTTTAGTGTGTGTGTGTTTCCTCCCTCCCTGTCTGTCTCCACCTGTGTTGTTTACATGCACCCATGTCTCTTTTCCCACCTGTTTTCTAATCCCTAGTAAGGCCTCAGGCCTTTCGACCACATGTAAACGGTGTTTTAAGTCACTCAAAACTTTTTTTCTTCTTTTTTTAAAGCTCACACCAAATAGGGAGATGTTCAGAAGTTGAATTGCATGTAGCTATGTGGAAAAGGAAAAGGAGGATACTTTTATCTCCATTTCTGACATCACAAACATGGTTCTGTGTTATTGTTTGCGAGCTTATTAATAGCCAATGTTTCCACATCAGTTTTTTGCATTTTCGTGAGAAATATATATATTTCAAAATAAAAGTAGAAAACCCCAGTTTAAAAAATAAAAAAAAAACCCACCTGTGAGTCTGTAGCATATATCCTGTTTCCTCCCTAGTGTTTGTCTGTCTAGCTCTGTGCTGTTTTTGTTCCTTGATGCTCCCTTGTGCGTGTCATGTTTTCCTAGTTTAACTTCTGCTCTTCCTGATGGTTTCCAGAGAAGTCAAATAAAGGAGGAGCCCTGCATCTGGCCTCTCTCCAAACCACACATCATGACACCTGCCATGTTTAAAAAAAAAAAAAGAAAAAAAAAGTGTTTTGCTTTTTTATAATTTGATCAAATTGATCTACTTGTATCTCAAATATTTTGATATTTTATAGCTGATTAATTATTATTACCCGCCCAGGCGGTGATCATGGAAATCAGTTCTAAATCTATTACAAGGCATTTTGTATTTTTTTTTCTTATAAGATGAACTCTCTAAGATCGTAACCATTTTTGTTCTTATTAAATTGTTCTTCCAGGTTAACAATATAGGGTTAGTGTTACCTCCATCAGAGGGTCAGTGTTTTTGTACTTGGTCTGGGAGAAAAATAGGAATAAATATTAAAAAAGCTAAAGAAAATTATAATAAAATAAAAAAAACTTAAAACAGAATGCACAGTAGTACAGTAGTGGTTAGCACCGTCACTTCACAGCAAGAAGGGTTTCTGTGTGGCGTTAGCATGTTCTCTCTCTGCCTGTGTTGGTTCTCCCACAGTCCACAGACATGCATGTTAAGTTATCTGGTGATTGTAAATTGGCTGAGTGATAGCCCCATGATAAGACTGGTGACCTGTCATGGGTGAAGCACTAGCCCATAGCAGCTGGGATAAGCTGCTGTATCCGACCCCTTTTGGATAATTGGATGGCTGCATAAACTAACTATAACCCTCTCGACCAACCTTTTGACCTTTAACGTTGACACTTATTGTGAAGTAGGCTTGCAGAGTTTCTAGCCAAACGGCTGTGCCAAGTCATTTTCCAACCTACCAAGTTCACAGGTTTCTTAAGGCTTTTGCTGTGATTCAACTGTGATTACCACATGTTAATCAGCACCGTGGAAACCTGGCTGATCCCTTCTTAGGCTCATTATGAAGTGACTAGGACAAGCCTGGTGCTATTGTATGTTAGTATGTTCAGTAGACAGTGAAAATGCAAAGAAATGAGAGAACATTTTAGTCCAATGTCTGTTAATATGTTTAGTGTGTCTTGGTACTCTCACATAGCAAACTTTTAAAGGTGGTACAGCTTTAAAAAGAAAAGTATTGATTACATTACATCACTCTGCTGCTATTAGAAAGTCAAAAATCCATTAGCTTATGGGCAACTGGGATCTGTCCATTGATCATCTTTGGTTAGTCAGTTAATGGACTTTCAAATTGAAACTCCATTAAACAAAAAAAAAAAAAATTCAATCAGTGTCAGCATGAAGGAAAAGTAAATGAATAGCAGCCGGAGCAACATGTGGTGTTGCGGATCAGACTTAACGGTCCCCAGAGGCAGAGCCAGGAGGATTAATCTCATGTGATTTCTCTATACACTGATAAAACTAATTCATCCATGACAATATTTATTACAAATAATCCCATGTGAATAGCATGGAATGAGAATGACTGAGTAACTGCTATTAGAAAAAGAAAGCCTCAAACCTAAAATTGCCTTTCTTAATACTGAGATTAAAGAAACCCCAGAAGATTATCTCCAGCAAACTCTACAGCTTATTTCAATGAGAAAATTCCTCCAGGCTGATTTAAAAAGCACCAGTTAGTGAACTCACCCGGCTGCATCACAAATTTAAAATCTTTTTTGCTGTGAAAACTTTAAAAGGGGACATATGATTATTTCAAGCTCCATATCGACTCGTTGCTTTACATGACTCACAATTCATAGCAATCTTTGTTCCTCTTATACCAAGCATTTTCATAATAAATAAGTTGTATGAGAAAAATCGTTAACTTAAAAAGGCTGCCAGTGTTTTGTGGTTCAATAAATCTTTTTGTATAAGATAGTCATGAAGAATGTGCATTTAATACATTAATCCTTCAGGGCAGAGAAACACTTCTCTCTAGTGCTGCTTTAACATTTACCTTCATCATGCTATGATCACAAGGTAGCAGCACTCTAAACCATACCCTACTTTATTTGTTTGTTTATGTTTCTGTAGATGGCATCATAATTTTTAAAAGTGAACATCATGTTGTATTAAATGAGACATTAAATTACTGATTGAAACCCTAAAAATCACAGATTAATCGAGAAACTTGATATTCTTCCTCAGATTTCTACACAGTCTAACAAATTTCTGCAGCTGAAGGAGTCGCCCCCTGATGGTCATGAGAAATAATGCCAGTTTTTTGCACAACATCTATTGTTTGTCCAACCTATACCCAAGGGAAAGCTTTACTTTATGTAAAAGTACCCAAGAATGTTAAACTGCCACAGATTGATGACGATGTGCTCATACTTGAGATCTCCCAACTGCAAACTGTTTATATACTAAACCTAAACCTTTTTTAATACTTCTTTTGCAATAAAAAGTTTGAATATTTATGCAACAACTAGGCAAGACATTCTAGTTCAGTCTCCTCCTCACGTTTGGTTTCCACAGGTCTTTATTCCTGATCACTGAGTCCATTTGTTGCCCTCAGTCTCCCCAGAATGAGCTCTAATCCCTCAAGATAACTAAAACTATGCAGGCGCTCTTCTAGGCGAAGCACATGGGGTCTCAAAGTGTTTTTAAAGCCCCCGTCATGTTCATGCAGTCCTAGTTTCCCTTTTGTTGTCACAGTGACTGGGGGCCTCAAACATTAGAAGGGGGAAGAGAAAAGAAAAGGGGAGGAGGGGGGTCATAGGGCTGACAGGAAGACCAGGACCCCTTCTTAGCATCTTAAAGCCTCCAGTCCTGCTATAGCTTTTACAATCTTCCACATGCTCCCACTTCCCTAATTGAAGATAAATGGACAATAACAGCTAATGGTAGTGGAAGGGTTTGTGACAACTATAAAGAGGGGCTGATGGACATAATATACTTAATATATTATGGTTTACAAATATTCTGTGGATGGGCAGAATTTGCCATTTTCCTTGTAGATTAAATGTGCCAAATACCTTTATATTACTACATGATATCTCATGTGATATCAGATGATATAGAGTACTGAGGCATTTTCTGACGTGTAAAAACAGCTGAATTGAAATAGCAAGCTAATATGATACATTAACAAATTAAATGCATGCAACTCTTGTTTAGAAATCACTAATACAATGTTGTTGAGGCCCAGCACCCAGTCAAGGCATCCACTTAGGCCCATGTGCGCACACACATGCACACACAAAAACACTGCACGGAATGCAAGTAATATTAAAACCACCCCCAGTGTCCACTGTGTCAGCTGATTGTGAATGTGAGCAGACTGTTTTTGTCTGGGAAAGGCTTTGAAGGTTTTAATGCCCCTCGGTCAGCCAGTCACTCCTCCAGCAGCAGGAATGTGTGGCACTCCAGCTGAGGAGGAGACCAAACATGAGCAGTGGTCAGTGTGGGGTCGTGTCGAGTCTGCAACCACCCATTTTCTGATGTCTCATCACTCAAAAGCCACAGGTTGCAAGACGAGATGTAGAGTAATATTTCTTCCGCATCAGACATTTTTCATTGCGGCAGGCAACAGTAGCAGTCTTAGGAAATCTGCTGTCACACAGAGGCATCAGGATTTTATCCTCTAGCTTTCAGTGCTGACAGTTTTATAGGGTTACTTGTATAGATGGAGCACCGGAGAAGCAGCATAGAGAGAATCTGCCATTGCAGCACTTTTTAAAATGTAATAATTCAGTATAAAGTTATGTGGATCAAAATATTACAAAATAAAAGTCAAACCATTATAAAGTACACACTTTTCACTACAACACTTAATGAAGCTCTCTAGGTAGGAAAGATCTGATCAATTTATTTTAGGAACATTGACCATATACTCTTAATTGTAAAAGATACCCCTCACCAAGAGATGATAATGACATAATCTGGGACCCACTTTAAAATAATCCTTTGGTTTTTATTCATTCATTTTCAGAGGAAGTAGGGACCCTCAGCAGGAGAGTTACTTAAAGGCACTTAACTTTATAGTTTTTGCTAAAACACATTTCTAACACCAACATCTAACATCTAAACTAACAACATAAAACCAGATTTTCAAACAGTAATGTTGCGGGGGATATTTGTCCCAAGTGAGCATCGTTCTGATGACAGGATAAAGCGCCTCGTCATCAAGCTCAAATCATCTTAAAGTAGTTTCTTGAACATGGCAATAAGTTCACTGAACTCAGATGACCTCCACAGTCAACAGATTTCATTCCAATAGAGCACCTTTGGGATATGATGGAACAGAAGAGTCGCAACTGGGTTATGTAGCTTACAAGTCTGCAGCAACTGTGCAATGTTATCATGTCAATATGGCCAAGAATCTCTGAGGAATGTTTCCAGCACCTTGCTGACTCTGTGCCATTAAGAATTAAGGCCGTTCTGAAGCAAAAGGCGATCCAAACTACTACCAGCAAGGTGTACCTAGTAAAGTGTCTGGTGAGCGTATATCTCGTTTGAAAGAGGTCACTTTCTCATCACACTTTGTCAAATGACTGCAAATGTCAAGAAAATATTATACTGGCTAAATAAAAAGCAACAGTGAACACTTCTAAGTAAATCATAGTGGCTCAAATTTCAACTGAAATTACTGATCTCGACCTTCCTCGTCTTCCTCCTCTCCCTCTGAGATTGCTTCCATCCACAGCTGGCATCAACCTTCAAACTCATCCTAGCTGGCTGTACAGCACTCTCACTGGGATATTTTTGGTTAAATTACACCATTAGTAACAAGTGTGAACAATTTTGAGCTGTTGTGTTTAATAAATGACACCTGTGCTGTAGCTGTGTTTACCTTCTACTGCCAGTGGTTGGCATAAAGCTTTACAAGTGAATTACTGTGCAAAATTGTTCTTTAGTGAGTGAAAATGTGTTTAGAGTTTCGCAAGAAGGTTAAATTGGCTCTGCAAAGTCTGTCAGGGGTGACTGATTCAATAAACTGGCTTAGGGCTGAGAATTTGGTTCAGTCAATGGGAATTCACGTTATTCTAAAAAAAAAAAAAATGCACCAAGTTTTTAGAATAAAGGTGTTAAAGGTGCAAACACAAGAGGGTAGTTTCTAATCTGTGGCAAGTTTAACTCTGTGGAGTCACACATGCAGCTGCTGAAGGGGGAAAGGTGCAAATACAATAGGGAGCTTTAGGTGCCGTGACCTTTCTCCGAGGGAAACAGGAACTTCCAATCAGCAAGTTTTTGTTACCGGTAGGGAAGGGCCAGTGCTAGCTGATTTGTAGAGACTACACTTTCAAAATAAATGTGGGGGGGGACTCTCCATCAGTAAAACACAGCAATGGCATCAGAAGGATGAAAAAAATAAAAATATGTACGCTAAAATGATTTCCCAAATATACTTGGGTGGCCATTAAAATACCTGGGCTGTCCTCCCAAGTAAAGTCTATGTCCAGGGAAAGACTGGATCATAACCATCTCTTTGGAAAATGCTCCCAATCTACTTCAGTTTCATTCAGGCATTAAAACCAGCATTTGCAAAATGCTAAACATCTTTGCTCCTTCCGTTTTGTAGATTTTTTGTTATTATAATTTCTAACGAGAAAAAAACAAAATAATACCAGAAATATGAAGACTTAAAAGCCACAAAGAGCAGTTCAATATTGTCTACTACGGAGACAACATAGAACTTAGAAGTGTGTAGAGTTCACTCCATACTGGACATAAAACAGGTGCTCTGCTTTCAAAGAGTGCAGTCAGTAAGCCTGCTTTGGTGCTTTACAACCCACTCCTTGAGTGGAGCCTCAGTGTGAACATGCAAACAGAGTAAAAGTTTGTACGTGGAGGTTGCAGGCGCCTATAAAAGCTGGCCAATCAGCTTTTATAGTCTGGACGGCCCATGTGATCTGCATTAAGTTTAATTTATAACTTAATATATAACGTATATACAGACCATTAGAGCTACAAAAATGATAAAATCTTCATGACTACACTGGTGGAATTTATTTACATAAATGTATTTTGAGTGTATTAACATTTTGTTTTATAGAGATATACTTGGCTACTGTATACCGATTAGCACAAGGATAACAACTCTCTTAAACAAAATATTAATATGCTGTAATTATATCCAACACACCCATGTGCTTGTGCTAGTCAGTACACCACAGTATACAGATTAGCACAAAGTTTGCATTGTTGAAATGCGTAGTAAGAGTTTAACCAGGTACTATAAATCATGGAGTAGCTGACACTGAGCAGCAACCTTGGAGCTGAGAAGTGAAGCCAATCTGTAAATGCCAAAAAACTGCAGTTCTTCCAATGACCATGTTAAAATCTCCAACTTTAAAAATATGTTTATAGCCCGGTAATGACATCTATGGCTGGTTTCCCACTTCAGAACAACTGTACAAATGGGTAAGGGGCCACTTTGATTTACAGGTGTAGCCATTTGCTTGACTTCACCTCAGTCCATTCCACTGAACTGGATCTCAGCAGTGTCCGTGCTGTTGGCGCCTTTTGCATAATTTTTAGTTAAATTATCTGACTGATATTATGCCTTGCTATGCGTTACAAACCATCCAAGACATTTGGGCTTTACTTCAAGTGAGTGAAATTCTAGTTTTCTGTTTAATCAGTTTGTTACTTAGCACCAATAAGCATCCCTACAGTTTATGAACACAGCTTGCTAACCAAGCATGGCAGTGTTAGCTGTTGGTTTGAAACGCCACAATCTCATCCAAATATGCTCACTTCTGGCTCTAAAAGCCCATCCAAAAACATAGCATTAGTCAAAACACACTGACAGTGAGGCCTTAAATTCTAGAAGCAAATGAGTTATGGTATGGCTGTGTCTATCTTTTACATACAGTCTGTGCTTATGACCCTCCAATGTCAACTTTTTGCCACAAAAGACAGACTAGAGTTTTGCTACTACATTAAATAGCTTCTAAATGCTTTGTCCCTTATATTCATGCAAAAAGGAGATTTATTAAGAGACAGGACATTATTAAAACCCCATCATTTTAATAACTTTGAACCTGCCCTTAAAACGAAAAAGTTCTCAGACTTTCACACATCTTCATTTCTGTGGTGAAATAAGGAACAAAAATCAATAAAGAGAGATCAATACATTCACAAAGAAATGCTGAGGATTCAGTCTACAGGATCAGACTATATGCTGCACATAAAATGTGAAGGAAAGTCTGCAGTCTGCTCTGAAAAACTCCACTCAGGTAGGCTGCTCCAATCACAGCAGCATATTTTATTACATGTACAGCAGTAAACTGTAGATAAATTTCAGCAGCATTCTCTGGCATGCGTGGCAACCTTTCGTCTGACTGCATCTGAGATTGGCAATTAGAGACTCAAACAGTATAAAAGCCTTTTTATAGAGGCCGTTTGTAAAGATACAGTATATGCAGTTTATTAGCCATGCCTTTTAAAACTGCAACGTCACACAAACCTGCTTTGAGACAAACTGAAAGAGCCTACTCTAAGTCCTCCTTTGTTAGCGCCACACCATAAACACACATCCACAACCACAGAGGTGAGTCTAAAAATATTCCAACACCAGGTGAAGTGTTGGAACTGGCAAAAAGTTGTATTATCCCAGCCCTCATCCGAGACTCAGAGGTGTTAGGAGCAACAGCTCTGACTCAGAGAAGAACATGGGCAGAAAGAAGTAAAGAAGAGAGAGCTTCAGTTTTCCCCAGGGAGGGTCCACATGAGGGAACAAACAAATGAGTCTGGAGATCCCCTCCTCCACTCTCCATCAAACTTCTGAATCCAACTCTCCCTTTCTGTCACACCCCCCCAATCTCCTTATTCTTTCCCCTCATACTGGAAACTGGAACACAGAGAGAAAACTGTGACAAAGCTATTTTGGTTTGTAGACAACCTACCTTTCCACAGGCAGACACCTCAGTGCCCCAACAAACACCCCGGTTATCATGCCAAAAGGTAATGTTCCCAAGCAAAGCTGCAACTTTTTCAGACAACTCAAATAAATAAAACCGATATTAGATTCCCCAAGAAGAATAACTGAATAAAAAAAGGGAATAAAAAGCCTTTAGAAACTGTAATTAACAGCTGAAAGGTGCTATGAATATGTACCACATATAATTGTGATAAATATTAGACCACAAAACACCTTCTGAATCATTCAGTAAGCAAACCCCAAACCATTTATCATTAAACAACACAAATCCATTAAAACATTAAGGGCTGGCCTTCAAAAAATATAAAACCATAATTTAGCCCTTTTTCTCTTTTCTGCAGTGACTAATCATCGTTTAGATGCTGAAAGACTGTCAATAAAATGTCAGGCTTTATAACAAAAAGACAGAAAAATCACAAATAGAGTGCAGTTCAAATGCTAAACATATGATTTACACCTGACGAAGAGAAAAACAACAAGTCATTACATTTGAGGCAGGAAAAATACAACAATAAAGACCAACAAGCCATTACAGTGGTATTTTGTGCCGTGTGGTTTTCCTGTAAGTCGGGACTTAACGCCACCCTTCTAGAACCTTTTTGACATAAATATTACCTTTTTGAAGTGCATGCATACTGCATTATAAGTAGTTCCACTATACAGAAGTGGTGACCAGTATATTTAAAATATTTGACTAAACAGGCATTTTTCAGGATTTATGATCCATTTGCAAAGCAATTTTGCTATGAAGTAAGAGGGATTCTGGATTTAAAACATAGAAATGCACTTTCCAATGACCATGATGCTCTAAAAGCTACTTTCAGATGCTCACTTATTCCCAAAGGGTCTCCACACCAAGTAGTTCTGCATGTTTGATTTGGCGTTTTTTGGGGGTTTTTGTCCTTTCTGACATAGCCCCAAAAGGCATTTGTGTCCTCCTGGGATCAAACAGGGGATCTTTCACCTATTAGGCAAATGTGTAAACAGAGGCCCTTATGCTTAAACTTTACTATACAGTAACCTCTACTTGCCACCCTTGCACTACTGAGCAGCTACAGAAGAGTAATCAGTGAAAGGTCACGGCAGTTTTTTCCACCTTTTTTTTTTGCCTACAGCTACTGTTAACTATACGGTCTATGAAATCTTACCGTTATTAAAAGCAATACTGATGTTTAACAATTTCTGCTTATTTAGACTGATTGGGAGTCTAAACCTAAAGATATTTAATTCTTACTTTAAGGAGATTATAAAAATTGAGATGGCATACTGATTAGGAAAACAGTAAGTGCATGCTGATAAGCTAAGAGATTCATCAACTAATTGTTTACATTTCTTTACACAAATGTAAAAATTCTTCTCTTTTTACCTTAATGTACAATAATCCTCTGTAACTTTCAGTCACAGTGGGACTCCCACTGTGAATGTCAAACACTGCCCATCACTTTCAATGGCCAGGTAATTAAAAGGTAACTTCCTGTTTCTCCAACGGTTTTTTCCTGCGAGTCTCTTACCCCAGTTTGTTCCTTGCATAGCTGCTCTGATGTCTGACCAGCTCCTTCTGATCATCCAGCCTCCTGCCCCTTCGTGTCTCACTCGTTCCTGTTTCTCTGTTTCTGACCAACCCTCCTGAGGGGGAAAAAACTTCTCTAAAACCCCCCTTCCCCAAAAAAGAAACCGCTCATTCTCAAGGCAAATGCCACCAATGTGAATGAGAGCACAGTCCCCTCCCCTTTCCCTGCTTTTCACTCTCTTTCATGCATCCCACCTCCTCCTCCTCTCAGCACTACCCAGCCCCTCTCTGACATATGCACACCTCCTCTCTCCATGCTCCACTCCTCTGCCATTTCCTTTGACTAAAGAAACTACTCTGCAAGGTCCTCTACTGCCATTGTCAGGCAGTTAAAAGAAGAGAATGCAAGGGAAGGGGAAAAAAGCTGTCAGTTAAAGATCATTCTGATCTGTCCACACATTTTAAACAAAGTAAAAAATAAAAAATAAAGTGGTGCTGCATGCATCTCACTCTGTAAAGGTGCAGAACCCCCTGCAACCCTGAAGTGGATAAATGAATGGATGGCATTATTAGCTGTCCAAATTGAGTCTTTAAAGGAGACGTGTAAACACTAAGATTTAGAGTGAAATTGTAGTTTTATGGAACTACAGATAAAGGAGCCTGTTTAATTAACTCCCAGAAAGGATTAAAACAGGTAATTATGATACGAATGATTAATTAGAAGAAGCTGCCACTGAAAGATTAGAACTGGTTTACCTTAAAGGAAAAACACCCAAGTGAGGATTTTGATATTTTAAGAAGCAATTCTGGATGTATGACATGCAGGCACATTTAAAAACAACATGGTAATGATTATCTCTGCTCTAAAAAGCCTCATGAAAACAAATGCCAGTGAAAAATACAAATGAGAGCACAGTATATAATGAGCTGTAGTACTACAACTAAAGCAGTATCCTGCACAATCACCTCTCAATATAATTGTTAAGGTACTCCACACACAATGATTTTGGGGGAGTGAGCAGTAAGCGGCTACAGGTAGGAATACATGGTGCTAAGCTAGCAGAACAACAATAAGGGTTTCATATAATATATGGATATATTTTATACCTGCATTATATTTTAGCATTTCAATGTCTTGGGGGTTGTACATAAAGTGATAACATCTGTTTGCAAACAGCTGCATATTTGCTCCAAGCATCTGTGAAAGGGACTGTTGAAATTTTTACAGAAGTGATGAAGAGCTGTTTACATTTCAACTGGTTTAACTGGTGCAGGAATCTAGTGTACATGCTTTGATGATAAAAAAAAAAAAAAAGTACAACGACTCTTGAGCACTTTTGTCTGGTTCAGGTTTCATTTTTAAAAGTGCTTTACAAGTGTTTTCAAAAGATTGAGGTTCTATTTATTCAGTGGGCAAGGGGGCTGAGTGTCGTGTGCACACAAGTATTTATAGTGAAAGCATTGGTGCCTCCATTCACAGCACACACCCACACGCTTTGTGACAAAAACATTCTTCAGTCTTGGACTGCAGCTAGCGATTGTAGTCGTTTTTCTGCTCTATGGCCTCTGAAAGTTCAGCATCGTGGCACATGAATCAGTTCTCCTCCTGTTGGTTCTGGTTAACACGGCCTTTCAGATTACAGCATATTTTCAGAGCAGGAGGAGGAACAAACATGGAGTACATCTGACAGCAAGATGGTATTTCACTGGATTATTATTCACTTTTAATGAACCCAGAAACCAGGAGATTAAGAATCTCTTGTCTGGATTAGTGCTACCAGAACTCGAAAACCCCTCCTTTTTTTTAAAAAATATTTGATTATATAATCTCATTTAGAATATACACAGTCAGCCCTTGTCCAGACAGACAGCATTAACTTTGCATGTTTTTCCAGTGGTGGGAGAAACCAAAGCTCCTGGAGAAAACCCACACAAGCACCGGGAGAAAATGCAAACTGTCTAAATTCAAACCAGGACTCTCTTGCTTTATGACAATATTGCTAACTAATTAAGCCACCGTGCTGTCTAAATGAAATAAAAGAAACTACACATGGCCACAATGGCAACCAGGCCACAAAACTATCCACTAGACAAAGTGTTTAGAGTGAGCTTGCCAGCAGGAACGGAACTTTCAAATTAATCAAATCAGTCTTATTTATATAGCACCAATTCACAACAATAGTCACCTCAAGGTGTTTTCTATTGAGAGAACCCCAGCAGTCATAAAATTCCATATGAGCAAGCACCTGGCAATGGTGGGAAGAGAGAACTCCCTTTTAAGAGGAAGAAACCAGGTTCAGGTAGGTGCGGGTATCTAGTGCAACCAACTCTGGGGTGAGAGGACAGAAGAGACCACGAATAACAAATGAGACAAAACATTAACTATAGGAGAGAACAGATAAAAGTTACAGACAAGCATATAAATGCATCAGGAATTAAAAGAGGGAAGTAGACAGGTGGTGATGAATGCCAAGTGTATCATAGGAAATTCCTCAGCAGGCTGAGCCTATTCCAGCAAAACCAAAAAGAACTTGGGGGTCACCTCATCTAGCCCCAACTACAAAAGTCTGAAGCCCAATTTTAAAAGCAGAGATGATGTTGACAATGTACACCCTCTCCATCTTCTCTGTTTCATATATGGTTCTAGACCTTAAATACAACCCAAACATCTGCAAGCCCTCTATTGATATATTCAATCAATTATACAATTCCCTCATTCCCTTCACTGCAGAAATTAAGAAAATACTAAAACAAATCACCAAATATAGTTATAGTCTGTATAAATAGAGGTATGGTTTATACAGTTTCCACCAACATTTGAGACAAATATTCGTTTCTTAAGTTGCTAAATGCTGCCCTGTTAATCTCGCATGTCTGCTTTTCGTGTTGTGTGGGTATAGGTTGAGTAATAATTTTACTTTATTAAAGTTTCATGCATGCTGGCTTACTCTTATACCAGCATTACTTAACTGAACTTCAATTTAGGATTATCAGACAGTAATCGCAGTTTAATCGAGGATATGACATGCTGAAGTTTATTCCAACATGGCTTTGGCAGCATTCAGCGTTTGCCTTGACCTGTAAGCCACCATCTGGTCAATAAACATGAAAAAAAGGAAAAAGGAAACAGGAGATGGTGTAGTCAGTGTAGCTCAGTTGCTCCCACATAAAGAGAGGGCTAAAGTAGGGTACGAGAAGTAGGCTATGCCCTGCCACCACCGCCTTACACACATACAAACACAGATTTGTCCCTCTTCCTTTTCAACTCTCTCTTTCCCTGCTCATAGAACTGGGTCACAGTAGTAGGCACAAGGTTTGTCCTTCAGGCAACAAGACGTGATGCTGGGGATGGAGTTCAAGGTCATTCTTGATCAAGTCTCAATGGGAGGTCTTGAGAATACTAAATGGGCCACAAGTGAGGTCTCATCAGCCTGCAGCCAAAGCAACAGAAACTGCTCTCTATTGGAGGCTACCATTTGAGAGCAAACACCATTAATCAGCCGCCTGGAGGCCACAACTGCTGGACTAAAGACGCAGGCTGCAAATCACCGCTGTGAATGCCACCATTAACACCACCACTTTACTGGCATGGGATGGCCAACATGACTCAGCCCCTATTTGAGGGAACTGATTTACAGGCTGAAGCAGCAGTAAAGTAAAATTCTGTAACTTCTCTATCTGCAGGACAGCCGAGTTAAAACCATGAGGAATATTAGAGGGAAATTCCAGTAAAATAAATAATTCCAGTGTGGCTTTGCAGAAATATTGGGTACATCTGTCTGTGGTCTCCAGTTTTTCTTCCTCAGTCATATAAAGTTTATTATCCTACAGTGATACTTAAAATGTTTAGGAGTGCCAGGAGTAACATCATTTCTAGTGAACACTGAAAACGGCTCCCGAGAGCCCACAGTTCTACTTTATCTACATCTATAGCGGATGCCCATCAGGTGGTCATCCACAATAAGCTGTGTTGCCATCTCTCTGCGGTCCGTCATCCTGCTTCCTTCTATAGTTTCATAACAACGGCTCCCGTCTGGGAACAGAAACCAACAGAAAGCTAGGCCATCCATCAGTGTCCGTGCTGCCTCAGCATGGGGACACACTCCCATTGGACGCTGCAGCTAAAACTGGCCTTGACCAGCCAGCCCTTTGGACCACTTACCTCCAAAATAATCCACCATGGCACAAAGCAATTCATGCACACCTCCCAAATAAAACCGCTGAGAAAATTTCAGCAGTAGGGTGCTTCGTCAGTATGAAGAGAGAAGTGAGAGAAAGGGTCGTTTGTAGATTAAAATAAGTAGTCCTACTGAGCAAGTCCAGTCATACATAAATCCACACAAATGGGCTGTTTTGAGCTGGCAGGGACCCGACTTAACCACACTCTGATTTACTGTATAATGTGGCAAAGAGATTAGGGTTATGCCTCCCGCTCTGGAATTACAGCAATACCCTATCCATGATTAAGATCTGTTGCAAGCTCCCACGCAGCAAGAATGTGTTAACGTCCACGCCAGCACTATGCACGCTGCAACATGTGGGCCACGCTGAAGCCAAGTCACAACGTCAAAGTGTCAAACAGGAAATGACCATTAGAGAAAACCTAATGCGGGTATGAGGAAATGGCCTCAACATATGCAGAGGTTTTAGCAGTACTGCATGCAAGAAACTCCTCTTACCTGTCACTGACACCCCGTCTTCAGCTTCTGGAGGCCTTAGAAAATCATGTACGAGTCCGTTGAGCATCTCAGGAACTCGTCATTCTTCTCGTCACCTCTCTGTTCTCCCAGACCGAGGGGATAAAACACACACACACAAAAAAGCACAATGTTGAATCAGCAGAAGAGAAGCGGCGAGACTACTACTGCTGTGGGGAGGCTGGAAAACGTGAAAAGTGACAAGTGTGTTTATAGAAGTCGGCAAGAAAGAGGAAAATCTGAGTCACAATGGCAAAAAGACTTCACGTGGAAGAAGCCTGAGAGTGAGGGGATTTTT